ATATTTTTTTTCCCATCCTTTTACCTTCAATCTGTGGACGTGTTTGTCTGTGAAGTGAATCTCTTGCAGACATCATATTATTGGGTTGTTTTCTAACCCAATCTGCGAACTTATGTCTTTTTATTTATTTATTTTTTTGGTAGTGTATATGGACAGCATGCCTTTATTTATTTTTTTTTATGCAGTGCTAAAGATTGAACCCAGTACCTCACACATACTAGGTAAGCACTCTGCCACTGAGCTGCCCTAGCCCTAATCTATGTATTTTTTTTTAGTTGCTGATAGATTTTTTTTTAATACGTGGTGCTGAGAATCAAACCCAGTACCTCACACATACCAGGCACGTGCACTACCACTAAGCCACAGCCCCAGCCCCAACTTATGTCTTTTGATTGAAGAGTTTAGACTGTTTACATTCAATGTTATTATTGAGAGATTACTTTTATTTCCTCCAATTTTAGTGTATTGGATTTGATATTCCTTTAATTGACTATTCTTCTTAGTGTGATTCCCCTCCATGCTGTTTCTCATTTTTCATTTCTTCTCCATGAAATATTTATTGAGTATGTTTATAATGTAGGCATCTAGTTATGAATTCTTTTATCTTTTGTTAATCATGGAAGGTTTTTATTTCATCTCCAATTCTGACACTTAATTTTGCTAGGTATAGTATTCTTGGTTGCCATCCATTTCTTTCAGAGCTTGGTATATATTATTCTAAGGCCTTCTGGCATTTAGAGTTTGGGTTGAGAAATCATTGAAATTGGATTGGTTTACCTATAATGTGACCAGTCATTTTTCTCTTATAGCTTTTGAAATTCTATCCTTATTCTTTAAGTTAGGCATTTTCATACTAATGTGACTTAGAGTGTATGTATCATGGTTTTATGCATTTAGAGTCCTATATGCCTCTTCTACTTGAATTCCCATTTCATTCTTAAGGTTTAGAAGATTTTCTGATATCATTTACTGAAAAGATTATGCAAAGGTGTGCATTTGTATTTCAGAGCCTTCATCTATCCCAATGAATCTTAAATTTGGCCTTTTACTTATGAAGAAGACTGTGATGAATAACCTTGTACATACTTCAAGTAAAAAAGGCAACTCTGTTTAGAATGATGTTGGCCTGGGGCTTAGCATAGATAGCCTTTATGATGTTGAGATATGTTCCTGTTATCCCTAATTTTTCTATTGTTTTGAAAATGAAGGGGTGCTATATTTTGTCAAATGCTTTTTCTGCATCTATTGAGATGATCATATGATTCTTATCTTTAAGTCTATTGATGTGACTTAAAAACATCATACCACAGAGACACAACCACTTCAATGTTTATAGCAGCACAATTCACGATAGCTAAACTGTAGAACCAACCTATATGCCCTTCAACAGAAGAATGGATTTTAAAAAGTGGCAAATATACACAATGGAATATTACTCAGCAATAAAAGAGAATAAAATCAGGGCATTTGCAAATAAAAGGATGGAGTTGGAGAATATAATGCTAAGTGAAGTTAGCCAATCCCAAAAAACCAAATGCTGAATGTTTTCTCTGATATAAGGAGGCTGATTCATAGTGGAGTAGGGAGGAGGAGCATGGGAGGAATAGATAGGGTAGATGGGTGGGAGGGTAAGGGAGGGGATATGGGGTTATAAATGATGGTGGAATGAGGTAGTCATCATTATCCAAAGTACATGAATAAAGGCACAAATCCGTGTGAATGTACTTTATATATAACCAAAGATATGAAAAATTGTGCTCTATATGTATAATTAGAATTGTAATGCATTCTGCTGTCATATATAAATTTTAAAAATTAACAACAAAAAAAAGGCAACTCTATAGGATGAATGCCCTGAACTAGAAATGCTGGATTAGAGATTAAAATACATTTGTGATTCTTGTAGCTATGGCCAGACTGTTTCCATTGGAGAACAACTTGTATTCCCTCCAGCAAGAAATAATAGCTCCTGTTTCTCTACAGCCTCAGTGTGTATTGTCAAAATTTTGAATTTGACAGTTTTTTCAGTTTGATTGAGACAGAGCATACGCTCATATGTTTGACTATGTCATTTCCTTTTCTGTATGATATCCATTAATATCTCTTGCTCATTTCTCTATTATTGGCACAGGAGCCAGTTCCATAATTGCTATGATCCCCCCACCATCAGCTCCTGATTTGTCAGTTCAAGGGCCTGCAGCTGACTGCTCAGAGAGTGCAGCGTTGTGGGTTGACTGTTTCTGTTGTATGCAGTAGTTCAGGATGCAGGCTCTGTGATGGTGATGGATCACTGTGTACCTGGTCCCCTTTGTAGGATCCTTTGCATCATAGTGAAGATCTGGGGGGCTCTCTGTGTGTGCAGGAATTTTGGTGTAGGGGTTCTGTGTGTAGAAGTATTCCCCTAGCTGTTGCTGCTCTCTGAGATACTATAGTAAAGGGTCTCAGGTAGCTCACCTGGACTACCCCAGGTTGTGAATGGCAGGTGTTGATTCCCTCTGTTTACTAAGTCTGATGCAAGGTCCCTCAAGTATCTAAACAATGCCCTGTGTCACTTGCCAGTTGTGATCACCAGTCAGGCTGTGATCAGCCCCTTCCTGCTGCACAGACTCTGGTAATTTCCCGCTGGGTCTCTATGTCACTGAATATTTAGGCAGCTTCCCTCTGGTATGGCCTCACAACCCTGGGGACAGTCCCTAGTTTTCCCACACTGCCTCCCCACAGAGTCAGTGGTCGGGGCCTGGTGAATCTGCTTTCCTCTGTTGGGGGCAATGCTGCCTCATTGCTGTCTCTGAGTCAATGTGGGTGCTGCACAGAGCTTTCTACCCCTGCCTGGGTCACAGAGGCTGAGCAGGGTTAGGTTCACTTCCTGACACAGGTTCCCGCCAGCCTGCTCGTTCCCCTTGTTCACATGCAGAAGAGGGAGAGAGGATTTCAGCAACGTTTGGCTAATTGTGGTCCTTCTAGAAGTTAGTTCTGGCTGAATTCTTAAGAGCTTCCACCGCAGGGGGCTTCCCTCTGGTTCAATCTGCAGCTGTCTGGGCGTGGGGAGATGTGCCCCTGATTTAAGGGGGTGAGTGTTGGCTGAGGGCTCCACAAGACGGCTGAAGACCCCTGGCTCTATTTTTTTTTCACAATTTGGTTTTAAATTGTTTGTGCTGTTTTAAGGAGTCTTCTGTTACTGTCTTCAATTTTGTCCATCTTTCCAATTGCTTTTTAGTGGATGAGAATTTCTACTCCTCTCTCTCTCTCTCTCTCTCCCCCCACCTTCCCTTCTCTCTCTCTGTTACCCCTCCCCACTTCCTCTACCCAGGTTGAGTTTCAGGGTTAGAGACTCCAAGAGAGTTTATTTTCTACTCTGGTCACCTACCTTCCAGTCTCCCCAGGTCTCAGACTTTGTAATACTGAATCTTAGAGCAATTCTTTGTCACCTACCTCTCAAAGCTGCTTTTCCTTGGCTGCCTCCTTTCTGGACTCATTGCCTAGCTCACTTCCACCATCTTCTTGTCCCCCCCAAAAATTTCGTGATAACCTTTGCACCGTTTCATCGTGAAGACATTTTATTATTCCAACTAATAGTGTTTGTCGTTTAACATTACTCATTAATATTTTTTTCATTTTTATGGCCATTATCTATTTTCTCTCTGCTATACTTTTTTTCCCCTCTTAACATTCCTAATTAACTAATTAGTTTATTTCATGTATATTGCCCAACTCTTTTACTGATGAAACCTACACATAATTCAATCTGATTTTCGTCAAAGTATTCCTTTCACCTGCCTTTTTAAAAAATAGTGCTAAAAATTTTATAAAGGAAATCAGAATTTTCCTGTATTCTTTTTCTGCAGGTTTCAGCACATTTGTCATCTGGATGGTAAAAGGGGCAGAACGAGCATCCAGTCACATTATCCCTGGAACTGGGCTCTGGGTTCTTGGTTCCTCCTGGAGTGGAAGCCTTCATGCTCTGCTGGATGCAGTCCCTGGCTGCTCCCACTCTGAGGCCCCCATCCTTCCCTCAACCAGTTCCTGTCAGTTTTCTGTTGTTTTGTTTGGGGTCCTAGTTCTTCCCATCTGCTTTCCATCTTTTAGCGCTTTCCAATGATTTGTGGTTCAAAGAAAACGCTAAGCACCCCTTCTGAATTTCCAGCCCTGTTAGAGACCAAGGTCTGTCATGGGGGTGAATGGCAGGGCAGGAAAGGGTCTCCATCTGCCATACTGAGGCAAGTTCCAGGTATTACTTTGAGTCTCAGGGGGAAAAAAAAATGACATGTTCTTGGGCTGGGGTTGTGGCTCAGCAGTAGAGCGATTGCCTAGCAAGTTCAAGGCCCTGGGTTCAAGGCCCTGGGTTTGATCCTCAGAACCACATAAAAATAAAACTAAAAAAAAAATGACATGTTCTCATTTTGAAAACAAACAAAAAAACTAAGTTGCTTGATAAGATCAAATGAGGAAAGGAGGCAAGTTAGACACTTTGGCTCCAAAATCTAGGGAACACACAAGGCTATTGTCATGTCCTACCTGATATTCTAAAGGCCACTCTGTCCTTTTCGCCTTAGTGAATCCCTCCTTCTTGGCTCACTCATGTCCCACATCTTACCTTCCCTGCCCTTTCCCCATTTCCCTCAGTAGTCCTGATGTCCAATAGCAACTCTGCCTGAAGTGCGAAAATTCATACATAAGTCAAAGACTTAGAAGACATCACTTGTCAAAATTCAAGGAATCTGTATCCTCAGTCCTCTAAGAGGTACTTGGTTTTCACTTTGAACTGCGGATTTTGCTTCGAAGATGATTGAGGCAATAGAGAAATGAACTTGGTCTCTAGAGAAATCAGAAATGGCTTTGCATCCTAGCACTATTCTTACTAGCTTTTGGACAAGTTACATAAGCTCTTCACATCTTAATCTATAAATCTACAATAAGAATACTCTGTATGCTTTCTTTATATTTACAGATATGATATATCCAACCTGTATGCTTTGACCCAAATCCTCATTATCTCTCACCTGATTCATGTAAAGCCACTGAATTGTCTCTTGCCGAGGTCCAGCCCCGGTGGGGGGAGTGAGGGTCCAGGGTGGTCCTGAAGGAGGAGTGGCGTCGGCGAAAGAAGAAGAGTCAGGGTGACAGGTTGCAAGTTATGAGCAACCTCCAGAAGACATCTCATGCTGCCTCTGGAGGGATCTTTATTTTTATACCTTTTTACAGGTGTTTTTTCCGGTAGTTAATGGATAGCTTCAAAGCTCCAAACTTTTTTGATTTACATAATTTACAAGAGTTACAACCTTTCCTGACATACATTGATTACCTAAGATATCAAGTACATCGTTCAAAATATTTTTCTGTGACCTTAGTCAATCATGATTAAGCTTTTATGTTTTCACCTCAATCACTAAGTGACTACACACAACTCCTGACCTATTATTCACTTCTAACTTTAATTATTTATTTAATTATGCATATAATTATTTCATTAACCTTTAACTTTAAAGCATACTTATGATTATTGGTAAGTTTTCTTACTTCTAAACCAAAATCCCGGTAAAACACACTTAAAGTAGTGAAAGTCTATTATTTAAAAGCCCTACCACTCTTAAGTGCCTCTAAAATATATATATGTTAATTTTACATTATTCTAGTTTTAATTTCCAAGGTAATTTCCTTTTTCCATATGACCTATTCAACTGCTTTCTTAACGAACTTCCTTGATCCTTGGTCAAAGCACATCAATTCTTATGTCTTTGTAATCTTTAACTAAAGGGCAGGCTTTACACCTCAATCCATTTGTCATTTATATTGACTATGTGTTTTCCATTTTCATCAAAAGTTTCTGTGTAAAGCAAAGGAGGGTCTATTGGTTGGGGAATATATTTTTGTTAGCCTCTTGTCCTTGAGGGGATACCATAAGCTACATATGGTGGTACATGTACTGTTGGCACAGCAATTGTTTCTCTGTAGCTAGGCTGTGGTACAGGTTTTGGCTTTAGGATGGTGTGTGTGGGGGCGCTAGTGTAAATTGTTAACTGTGGGATAGATATTTCTTGTTGTTTAGGCTTGAGGAATAACACCATTGTTTGTATCCTGAAAGATATTGAAATGCACCTCATGGCATGTCTCAATTGTATCCTTAGTCTCATTCTGAGAATTTTCCTGCAATCTCAGGCAATACATACTTTTATTATTGATTGACATATGCCCTGTTATCCATATCATGAGTATCATAAACAAAACACTTAACATTCCTTATGGTTCTGGTTTCCAGATGGTGCGGCCCTGCCACAGCATCCCCCGACACTGTGACCCTGTCAGACAGTGGGTGCAGGAACACCTTCACCAGTCCCCCCTGTCTTCATTGTTGAAGGAAGTTTATGTTCCCCCCATATTCATATGTTGGAATCTTAACACCCACCGTGATGGTATTGGGAAGAGGGCATTTGGGACGTGATGATGTCAGAGGACAGAGCCCTCCTAAGTGGGCTAGTGCCCCTATTTTTAAAAAAGACTCAGAGAGAGTCCTTCCTTTTTCAACCCCACGAGGATAGCAAAACCACACCATCCATGAATCAGAAAGTAATCCCAATCAGGCACAAAGTCTGTTGGCTTGAATTTCCCAGACTCCAGAACTATGAGAAATACACTGCTGTCATTTATAGACTACCCAGTCGACGGTGTTTTGTTATAGCTACACAAACAGTTTAAGGCAGAAACATGCTTATTTATGATCGGTGTTATCTGTTTCTCCTAGAATGGAAGTTCCATGAAAGCAAGAATTTTTTTTTCTATTCTCCTATCCTAGCACCAGGAATTGTTTCTGACCCATGGAAGATGCTAAATACATATTTGTTGAATGAATAAAGAATGATTAGAAATGGTATTTGTAAAGCCAAACAATACAGTACAGTAGGTAATAATTCAACTTTGAAAACCAGACTGTGGATTCTGATCTAAATCCAATACTTATGAGGATTGTAACCCTGGGTAAATTACTGATCTGCCCTACAATTCAGGTTTAACATCTTTAATATAGAACTAATAATAGTACTTATGCATAGACTCATTGGACAGAGGTAATGTGTGTGTGTATGTGTGTGTGTGTGTGTGTGTGTGTGTGTGTGTGTGT